ACAGACATCAAATTATCATTTATCTGCTGTCATAAAACACAAAAGCTTAATCACTCTCACTGGATCTTTTTTGACTCTTTGTGTGTGTGTGTGCATGTGTCTGTATGTGTTTGTGCACAGTAAATAGAGTTTGTAAAGTCTGTGCTTTCCATCTGTCAGCCCTTGCATAACTTTCTTACGTAGATGCGTAGCTCAGCTTTATTCAGACATACAGTTAGCCATACAGGAAGAGTGAGAGAGACACATACATGCTCCACCCACAACTAAAATGGGACCTTTGTTCAATGCCTCAGTAGGTAACTGATTAACATCTTTGTATGTGTTTATTGGAATTTTGCCAGCATGGCACAGCACTGAAAGGGCAGCTGCACAATAAGCTTTCAATTTAGAGCTTAAAATGAAGCCAAAATAGCCCTATCACTATTTACTTTTATTTTAGAGGTTTAAATAAAAGAGGATTACATGATGTTAAATGATAAAACATGACTAAAATTGAATTAAATGCTTTAAAAATAGTTTGTACATTTATTGCAGGAACTCTAGCCCTAGTAATTATTGAATGTTCTGCTTCGATTTCTGCAAACTCCATCCTTTTAAGAAGCCCAGAGTGCTTTGTGATTTGCCAGGCGTTGTGACTGGCCAAACGCCACACACATGCTTCTAAAGTAATTTTAAGCACAATAATGGTCCATAATGGTTAAAGATTTGTTGTGTCAGTTCAAGTCAAGACCATGGCAGACGATGTGGATGATAAAGCATATCGATTACAACCAAGTTGTGCATTACTTGTGCAAAATTGTTCGCCAAGCCATTTAGCATCTCCACAACATATCGGCAGCTATACTCAAGTATGTCCTAGTAGAAACACAATAATTTTGTGTAAAAAAAAAAGTCCTCCAATGGGCTGTTAACTATTAAAGCCAGCACATGTTGGAGGAAAATATGCTATTTAAAACAGTTTTGGTATTTTGCTAGATGTGTTGTATTGAGCAATAGCTGATGTAGCTTGTGTGAAAGGGGAGTGTGGCAGCTACAGTGCTCTCTTTGTTTATTATGAGGTTGTGGCAGTGCATGTGGGCAGATATTGTACCGGTCATTTCGGCCACACCAATTTTAGTTGTTTTGTCAAAGCACATTTGACATCGTAATCTCAGATTTACTTTATAAAAAGTTTACAATTGTTTGTGATTTTTATTTTTTTTTAAGTCTTTGGAGTTTATTTATTCATAAATATGTAAGTGGCTAACTTCAGATCAGACAAACCTGTTGAAAGTTTGTCCCATTATTAATGGAATGACACAGTTTTTCAAACTAATCCAACCAATACTTCCAAGTTATTACTAGTGTAAGTCATTCATATAAACTGTTTTACTCATCGGCTTTGCAAATGAATTCTTTTTGAAATTTCTTTTAAAGCTTGCTCTTTTTTTCCTGGTTGGGAGAAAACTTGAGCAAAGCCCAGTGTTTTATGTGTGTGTGTTGAAAAGGTTGTAGGAAGGGGGATGTAGTCCTATGCAGAATCAAAATTCTTGACATTCCATTGTGAGAACGGAAGGTAGATTGAGGAAGAGAGTGGAATAGCTTTGGTTGGGGCCTAAATGGTTTGTCACTCTTACTTTTGTCTGTTTTTTTTTTAATGTAATGATGACACAGTGATCATCATGTATACAACAAGGATATAATAGTTTTGGATTTTTTATTAGTTTTAGTTTTTTTTTTTTTTCAAATTCAGTTTGTTTTAATTAGTTTTTAGAGGTGGATTTACTAGTTTCTATTAGTTTGTATATTTTGAAATTGCTTGGTTTTAGTTTTGTACTAATTAGTTTCAGTGTTAGTTTAGTTTTTACTGATTGTTTGTTTTTGTAAATTAGGATATTTGTTAGGTGCAATATTCAAAATAATCAGAAAAAATATTTTATAAAAAAAACTCAACCAAAGATGGGCTACATTTTGACACAAGAACACTGTCATCTACCCATCCTCAAATTCAAATACAACAGTCCACAAGATAGCGGGCCTAAGTACAATTTGTGTGCAAGGCTGCTTCTGAGGTTAGATACACAGTAGTGATGGGAAGTTCGGATCTTTAGAGCGAACCGGATCTTTTGTGACAATCTTCCCATGTTTGGACTCAACTTATCAAAAATAGGTAGTCAGCAATCATAATTTCAGTCAGTTAAAACATCACCATAACTTTAAGGGCCCTATTATACACTCAGCACAATAAGGCGCAAGACGTTTTTTTTATGATGTGTTGCTATTTTTAGCCCATAATTTTCCTGTTTTTCGCCACGCTGTTTAACTAGCAAATCCATTTGGGCCACTTTGTGGGCTCATGAGTATTTTGGTCTAGATAAGAGGCGTTTTAAGGCGCATTGTTGGCGTGTTGCTATTTTGAGGAACTAATAAAGACTGCACAATAGACCAGCTAAGAGCAGGTCTAAAGTCCAATACAGAGCACATTAGTTGTGCACCTCCCTCACACATGTACATCCTGTCTGCTTAATACACACAGCATGTACAGCAATACACACATATTTACAAATGAAAAAGAATTAAAGGAATAAAATATTACAAAAACTATTATTTTCTACATAAATATAAAAACCACAGCCTCCATGTCTTCTTCATCTCCTGGGGCCTTTTCAGTTCATTCATGACAATTTGTTTTTGTATAATGTTATTATTAGTAGTAGTATTATTTATTATATGCATATTTATATTTGTTTTATTAAAAAAAAGCATGCCCACCTGTCAGGTTTTGGACCATATGGGGCATAGCATAGTTTTTTGACCACACTTTGTTATTATTATTAATTTATTAGTTTGCTGGAAATTATTATGGAATTGCAGTTCAAGTTTGCCTCAGTCACAGCAGGCTGTCATGTACTGTTTGTGTTTAGCTCACTAATTCACACATGCGCAGTATTAGTGGTCCACCTCTTGTCAAATCTGTTATCGGTGTTTACTGTTCTAATAACTGAATAACTCTCTCTATATATTGGTTTATTTCAAAGGCGGTATCAGGCATGTTAGTAAGTAGTTTGTGGATAAGTGCTTAATGCTACTGGAGACGCAGTTCGATTTGGTGAGATAGCTAAACTGGTTCACTTAGGGTGCTTTCACACCTGCCTTATTAAGTTAGATTGAATCACACTAGAGTTCGTTTTCCTTCTTGGTGCGGTTCGTTTGGGCAGGTGAGAATGCAGCAATCGTACTCGAGTGCGCACCAAAAGCGGACCAAATAAGCGTACCAAGACCTGCTTGAAGAGGTGGTCTTGGTACGCTTTCAAACGAACCCTGGAGCCGTTCGTTTGTGGTGAGAATATGATTCGTACTAAAACAGGTTCAACCGCAAAAAGTACTGGGACTTTTGGACTAATCCAGCTGCCTTAGGCCGATGCGCTGTGCATTATGGGATATGGAGGAAAAATATTTGTTGACAGCGCTTTACTAACAGAGAGAGAGAGAGAGAGAGGCAAAACATTACCTGATGGATCATTGGTAATATTTCTGCAAGATGACTATGTTCCAGTTTAGCTAAATTAATTCACGCCTCCTCCTGAAGTGACGAGCGATGCATTAAAACGCTGTTTTCCAGTCGCAGCTAGAAATGTGTAGTTTGTCTAAAGCAGGGATAAAATCAGTCAGCGCAGTCGTCCCTCCAGAGTAAAAATGACATTTTGTGTCTGCCGGTTTTGTTTACTTGCGGGAGTTCATTGGCATTTTCCCGCACATGAATTCTAACTAATCAATAAGCAGTTTAGGAAATATGTTCAACAACATCTGGCCAATGAGAGATGTGGATTTTGTCAGATGACTGCATTTTGGTTCGTTTCAACTGGTTCGGACCAAAGCCAGCAGTGTTGTGTGAAAACGACCCAAAGATGGCAGAAGATGCAACAATGTATCATTTATTGCCCTTGTTCCGGACCAAATAAAGCGAACTACAGATGTGAAAGCACCCTTAGGAAATCTGGTTAAAAAGAATGACTCATTCAGCACAAATGATTATTTGGCACAAATGTGTTAAATTAATACTTTTAAATATCTTCTCGGGTTTAATGTTTTCACCATATTGCAATCACGTCCACTCTTTGTTTTTGTCGCGGGAGCAACAGCGAGGATGACTGGAGGACAACCGGCTTGATATGGCTGGATTACAGACTCTGAGGTGTCGTACGGGTCAAACACCTGGCAGCGTGAAGTAAATAGATTTACTTTTAAAAGGCATACAGTCTGAATTAAATACGTTAAAAAAAATGAAAATGAAGAACATTTTTGCTACAATTTTAGTTAGTTTTGTATGTACACAATACAGTTGTAGTTAGTTTTAGTTTTTTTTTTAAAACTCTCGTTTTTATTTTTAGTTCAGTTAACAAAAATCTTTTTTTCAATTCAATTTTTTTTTTTTTGTTTTTGTTAACTATAATAACCTTGCTATAAAAATGAGTAATGGTTATGCTTTCGCGTTTCTGAGTGCTCACAGATGCTGGAAGCTTTCTGCAGTGTGAGTGTGTGAGAGTGTGTGTGTGTTGCCTACTTTACTATTTTCTGGGGCATACCAAAACCTGACTAAATTAAAATTACTTGTAGCTGCACTATCATTTATAAAACTATTACAAAATAAATATGTGAAATTGTGAAAGTGGAGAATTAATTCAGTCCTAGCCATACTAATTAACAAAGAAAGACATGCTATTTGGCACATGCTACTAACATTGTAGTATAATGTGAGGTTTACCATGGATTAAAAATGCTTTGCTTGTTGCATGTGGGAAAAATATATTATCACATTACCACATCCAACACTAATAGCAATTCTTTATTTCTGAATACAATATAGAATCCACTAGATAATGTTTGCACGTTTTCAATAATAAGAGGGTATAACTGCTGTTGTACATTGAAATATTAGAGCCATGAGTTGCTGTACCAGCTGATATGGAGACGCTTAGTGCCCTTTCATCTTAAATATTTTGAATCCATCTGTGTTTCAGTGTCAGATGCAGCATCCTCTTCATCCGATCATGGAACCAGCTATGAAATAAAAACTGCAGAGACAGCAGGTGAGTAAGTGGGCGCATTTGTGTTCATGTGTTCATTTTTATAGGGATCAGACCATAGATCGTGCTGAAAAAAGCATGCTAAATTACCATAAATCGCAGGAAATGTGCTTAATTTACACTTATCACACATAAACACAATCTAAATATCATATAATAGGTCTGCTCGTACTGAACACTTTGCCACAAAAATCACTGCTGTCATTCAAACCATTTCAAACATGTCTCTGTTTTTTTTTTTTTTTTTTTTTGCTCAATCTGAGTAAACACGTGTAGTATGAATCTCTGACTTGCCTAGATCAATAATCATTGAGGAACATTTAGCTTTCCCCTTTGGATAGCTGGCTATAACACTGTCACCAGTGTAACAGGCTCAATTACAGAAGGGTCTTTATAGACCTACATGCCTGTAAAGACATAAAGAAAAGTCAAAGCTTCATGCAATGAGAAGAGCAGCACCCTCGCTCTCTATCTAGCTGTCTCATGCTCTCGTTCATAGAGGACGAACTGTAGCATATGGAGAAAAGGCTGTATTTCATTTTTATGTGACTAAGAGAAACAGTTTTAGTTTTGGTTGTGGTTTTGACATTCTATCATAGTAATACAACTGGTTATTTGTTTTTCTGTTTGAATGGTGGAATGACAGAAGGAAGTATGTGTAGAATGATAGTAGGCCTGCATAGTACTGCAATGAGCAATGTAGTGAGAATGTGGCATGTTGTCCAAGTGTATTATAAACAGTTCCTGTTTCGCAGAATCAGATAGGAAAATTAGTATGTGGGTTTCCCATTTGCCCATTAGAGTGCAAGAAAGCCTATAGTTCATGTATTTATTCATTTTTATACTTTTTACATAGTGATAATCTTTATGTGACCTCTTTTGAACCTAGCACTGTGTGTGTGTGTGTGTGTGTGTGAGGGGGTGTGCACCCCTATCAAGCTTTTTAGTACAGAGGTCTTTTGTTTCCCTGTGGTAATGAAACTAACACAAGTGTATTCTCTTGCTCAACGAAGCAATTCATTTTCACAACATGACAACATGGGAGGTTTTATGTTGCCCTAGCATCACACTTCATCAGAAATAGAGGAAGTGTCATACAACTGATATCCTGTGTTATTTCCTAATCTTTACATGGTGAAATAACAGTCAGTTATGACAGTAGAAGCAAAAGTTCTAGATGCATCGTGTCACTAATTCTGTACACTGCAAAAATTATTTTTTTTGCTTAGATTTTTTGTCTTGTTTCTAGTCCAAATATCTAAAATGTCCTAAATCAAGAAGGATTTCCTAGACAAGCAAAACATGTTGTCTTGTTTTGAGAAATAATAAGCTAATATTAAGTGAGTTTTTTCCTTAAAACAAGCAAAGTAATCTGCCAATGGGGTGAGCAAATTAATCTTGTTTTTTCTTTTGACGTAAGATTATTTTGCTTACCCCATTGGCAGATTATTTTGCTTGTTTTAAGGAAAAACTCACTTAATATTGGCATATTATTTTTCAAAACAAGACAATATGTTTAGCTTGTCTAGAAAATGCTTCTTGATTTAGGAATTTTTAGATATTTGGACTAGAAATAAGACAAAAAATCTAAGCAAGAAACGCATTTTTTGCAGTGTAAAAGGCTTGGTGGTGTTGCGTGAAAGCATAAAGACATTAAGGAGACTTTTTCTTTCAGAGATAATAAGAACGGGTTCATGCATGTATTTGTAGATTCATGATTTTTTGCCTTTTTTAGTAGGCAAAAAAGATGTATTGGGCAATGTTTCATAATTGTGCATTCATAGCCAGATTTCTTCACTCATTCTCATTTTAAAAGTCTATTCTTTCACCAGCACAGTGACATTTTACCCAGTGATTACCACTTTAAAGTGCTCCTATTACAATTTCTTTAGAAATTTCTTTCAATTCTATTCATCTTTATTTCTACAGATGTTTTGCAATGTAGATTGTGTCAAAGCTGCTTAACACAGATGGAGTTCTTCTCTAATTGAAACCGTTTCAGTCCAGTTTCACAGTTGCTTCGTTTTAGTTTTAGTTAAATCCAATGATGTGCTGCTTCATAAGTCCCAAACCAAGCAAGTAAAAATTCACCAATTAATGAATGTGAAGGAAATTTCCTTGAGAAACACCAGGCTAAGCTGAGCACGACCAGTTCTCCTCTGGCCAGATGTCTTGTGCAGAGCAGCAGTTTTGTTACCGGAGGCTTGAGAATTCTGGACGTCCACCGTGGAGAAGCTGCTGGTCTGAGTAGCTCACTGGCGGGTGTTCAGGCTAGCCCACAGGCTCATTGCGGTGACTCGTCTGTCACTGGGGTCTTTCAGGAATTAGTCTCACGCTCTCCATCTGCTCAGGTTACAGGCTGGGTGCAGGATTATATCAACCTTGGGATAGGGAGAAACAGATTAACATTAGCATTGTGGCTGGGCGATTTAGCCTAAAAACAAAATCTTGATATATTAAAATTTTAAATTGATTGCAACTAATAAACGATTTTTTTTTTTGCACAATGTGTTTATTTGCAAGACAGAAGGTAACAGAAAAAATTCAATTATTTCCCACCTCAACAAAAGAACATCACTCTCTTCTCCCCTATAGAAATACACAGAATTCTCTTACAAGAGATAATTTAAATGCAAAAAAAATATTGCTAGGTATCCAAAAACCAAGTATGTATTACTGTACTTTACATATAAAAGTTACATTATCTAAGAAAACAAAACGAAACACTCACAAAAAAAAACAAAAAAAAAAAACACTATGACCAATATTATTGTTGTTAATGTAGTAATTAAATGGCTTCCATATTTATTCATATACATTCATTTTGTTTTTAATAAAAATATATTACTTTTTTCCATGGCCATAAACTGTGCCATGGCACTAATCCAAGTTCTAATAGATGGTGGATCATTCTTAGCTTGTATAATAGCATAATCTATGAATTTGCGCAGCTGAAGATTTAGTTTAAGGTTGTTTGGATAAAAATGTAGCAAAATCATTTTCTCATCTAGTGGAATATTCAAGGCTATAATTACCTTTGTAATATTAATCACTTTCACCCAAAAGTCTCTAACAACATTGCATTCCCAAACAAAATGCACAAATAAACCCTGAGCCTCTCTGCATTTAAAGCATGTATCAGGAATATTTTTATTAAACCTATTTAGTTTGACAGGAGTTTTGTAAGTCTGCATCAACCAGTTATATTGAAGTATTTTTAAGCTAACGTTCCCTCAGTGTTTCTGAGAATTTTTACAGACTTGTCTCCATTTATTCAGCAGACCCTGATACAGGCCAATTGTAAAAAAAAAAAAAAAAAACTGATATTAATCCTTTATTATTGCATTTCTTAGTAATTAATTCCTCCAGAGAGGAGAGTACTGGCAAGTATGATTATTGGTTCTGCCTAGAAAGAACAAAACTCCTTATCTGTAGGTATTTAAAGAAATGTTTTCTTAGATTATTGTAGTGTATACTTAGTAGTAAATTGCTCAAACGACATCAACGTTCCCTCCTCAAAAAGATCACTAATTTTGCCTAATCTTTTTTCAACCCACAACCGGAATCCTGAGTCCAATGAACAATTATTTTATTTTATTAATTAGTTCATAGTTCACTGATAGGTTTTGTACAGTAAATATGCTCACATATTACAAGTGAGAGATGTTTAAATGAAGGGTGCATTACTTGATTTTAAAATAATTGAAGAAAACATGCACACTCTACTATCTAAGGTTATTTACTTGAACAAATGAAATTAAGACACACATTGTCTAATACAAACAGTGACACTTTCTAATAAAAAAGTGCAAATAAATAGCATACCCTTTTGGAAATAAAATTTGTTGTTGTTGTTATTATTATTATTAATATTATTATGTTTTTCATATTAAAAATAGAAAATAAGCACTTTCTCTTCTAAATGAAATAACTCTATCCAGTAAATAATATTTTAAGCAGTGCTTTTATCACTACCTCTGTTAACAAATATGTTTCATGTAAGTAATACTTTTAGGGGCGAAGCAGTGGCGCAGTAGGTTGTGCTATCTCCTCATAGCAAGAAGGTCACTGGGTCACTGGTTCAAACATTGGCTCAGTTGGCGTTTCTGTGTGGAGTTTGCTTGTTCTCCCTGCATTCACGTGGGTTTCCTCCGGGTGCTCCGGTTTCCCCCACGGTCCAAAGACATGCGGTACAGGTGAATTGGGTAGGCTAAATTGTCCGTATTGTATGAGTGTGTGTGTGTATGTGTGTGTGTATGTTTCCCATAGATGGGTTGCGGCTGGAAGGGCATCCGCTGCGTAAAAACGTGCTGGAAAAGTTGGCGGTTCATTCCGCTGTGGCAACTCCCAATTAATAAAGGGATTAAGCTGACAAGAAAATGAATGAATGATAATACTTTTATTGTAATGGAAAATATGCTGTCTCAAGGCTTTTCTGGCACAGCTTTCAATCATCATCAATGTAGTGCAAACGTGTGCAATGTGTGGTTACATTTTTTGAGAGGTGCACAGGTATGCGACCGAGCAAAGGCTGTGCCAGACCACACCCGTGCATTTGACGCAGAAGTATAAATCAGTCTTAACAGAGTGGGGTCACATGACTCCATACACGGGGAAAGTAATTGAAAAAATTGGATCGATTGTAGGTTCTGAATATCGTTAACGATCATTTTTTGATTAATCGCCCAGCCCTAACAAGCATAGATGCCATTCAAATTATAATGCCTTTTTTTGGAAATGTTTCTGGCTCTGGTTGCCCTAATTAATGCAGCCTAACAAGGCTTTTGGTTAGGTTAGATTTAAATGTCAAAAGTTACACTTTTGTGTTTTATGTGTATGCAAATGCAAAGAGATGTTTGAGTGTGCCTGTCTCTTAATTTGTGCTAGGAGAGTGGTTCTCAAATTTTTTTCATCAAGTACCACCTCAGAAAAAAATTGTCTCTCCAAGTACCACCAAAATGAGCAGTATTGAAATACAGTAGTATAGTAGGCCCAGTAAAGCA